CTGCTCTGAACTTTTCACGGACTCTGAGTTCCAATGGCTTTCATACTGGAAATAGTAACGACCTACAACCTTTTTATCCAAACAGAAAGAAATTATTTTCATTACGATGAAACTGTAATTTCTCTGTTACAATGCAATACAAACAAATGGATCCTGAAAGCACCTTCCACAAGCTGGGCACTGACCTGCTGCACTCGCAAGTCATGGAACAGAAATCAGCACCACGTAAATGTACACCCAGGACTTAGTAGCATTCATAGATGACATCACAGCTAAATTAGGGAGAAAAAAAGCTCTCCCTTAACACTGTAATAAAGGAGCAGGTTGTAAATCCACCTTTATTTTATTGTAAGACTTTTAACTAGCTGGATACCATCTTATGTTTTTGATCTAGTTAAGTGAATAATTAAAAATAAAACCTATTTTACTATTAAATTTTACTATTTATAAGTATTTATCTAGTATTTCTTTCACTGTTAATGAGCTGCTCTCACTTTTCTGTGGTCACTTCATAGATGCACACTGTCACAATTTCAATGCAGTTGTGAACTGAGTGGATTTCACTCTGATACTAATCCTGGTTCTACTGGGTAGAATACAAGTTTGGGGTTTTTGTTTTATTTTGTTATTACAGTACCAATATCCTTCTCAGTGCCTGAGGAACAGAAGTAAAAGGCACAAAGTTTTTAGAGAGCCTTTCCAGTGACTGCAGTTAGCCCTCCTGTTCTTCCACATTCTTGCAGAGCATGTTATGCTGTAAATTTTCAAAGAGAATTACATTCAAAAGGGTGAGCAAGCCACTGCTTTCAATTTCTTAAATTCTCCTTTGTCAGAACTGCTATTGCAACAAACAGGGAAGCTGAGCCTTTTCTTTGTGCAAATTTTCAGTTGAACTGATTTCCTAATGCAGAACATTGCCTTTGAGGGGAGGCAGGGAGCATGGTCTCCCTTTATTACTGTTAGAAATATATCTTCCATCACTCAACACAGAAAGCAGGAAAAGGCATTTTTAAAGAAGAGATATATTGTTAAGAAGGAAAAGGAAATTATACATACAGAGGTTTGGAAAATAATGAATTGTTTGTATTACAAAGCCAGGGCCAGTAACTGATCTCACTGCTGAGGTTAATTTTGTTTACAGGAAGGGAAAGAAGTGAATATTCTTGTCTATTCCAGTCATCCTCTTCTTTGTTTTGATTACTGTTTGTCACTTGCCAAGACATATTCTATTGGGGGTACTTTTATAGTCACACTCCATCATACTGGTCTTGCCTGCTCTGATTGCTGCCAGAATTGTCAACCAGCACACTTCAAAGCATGCAGCAGGCTGACGGAAATGACTTCAGATATTATCTGGCTCTCTACAGTGTCCTTGGTGCCCTTTCATCCCTTCTCTTATCTGGCTGTGACTGCTCATCTAGGGCTATGACTCCTTTAGTTCTGTCTGGGATCTCTCTCCCTCACGCTGTTCTGGGTCTGGCTGCTCCCTCTGAGATGCAGCTGTCTTGTTTCTGCATTTTATTACAGCCGGTTGTTCCTTGCTGATTGTTGCTCCTCGTGTTATTCTTGCTGCACTCTCCTCCTCTGGTGATGCAGCTCTCCAGGGCTATGATTCCTGCTGTCAGTTATTTCTGGTGTGGAAAGGCTGTCACGCTTTTTGCTTTGATTTAACAATTCTCAGATCCACTCTTGTGTTCAACAGGCTATATTTCCTACTGCACTTGGGATATAACCACTTTACCCATCATCGTGGGAGGACACTATCTCTCTTCCAGCTGCACTAGGAAGACATACCCACTTTCTGATGTAACTTGAGAGCCTTGAATCATCTACCAGTACTGTTTATTAATGAACTATCACGACTTCTCATTTTTCTCTACATATTTGCGGCCCTAGTGGAGGATGACATGCTCCTATGTGAAGAATGACTAGTATGTTGCTTTTGAAAGAAGCAAACATTACCCTCAACAGCTTAAGTGGAAAAACATTGTGTGCTGCAGGGCCGTACCGTCTGTTTCACTATGTGGGATTACCTGAATACCATTCTTCAGAGGTTTATGTCATGAGATTTTTTAACATGTGCAATCACTGTGGTCAAGAAAAGTGGAAATGAAAAATATATTCCACTCTGAGGCATTTAAATAGCACAGTTTCAATGGTCATCTCTGAAGTGTAGAGAAAGAAGCATATCTTTAAAATGACAGCTGAAAGTCTAGCAGAGATGGGCACTTTAATGGCATCTAATTGATTTATGCCATATTGACAACAGTAAAGACAATGAAATTACAATGACATTCTATGACTGTCATTTCACTGAACAAAAATTAGATGGAAGAAAGTTTCATCATTTCAATATTGTGTAGAAAATTGTGAAGAAAGAGATCACATGGACAATCCAAGGTCCCAGGGAGCACAAGGTAGACATTTAAAAAAAAAAAAAAAATTCAAGAGAATGAAAAAAAAAACAAACCATACCAAAATGTAGGGAAAAAATACTGCACATAGTGCCAGACTGTTTAAAAATGAACATTGTATTTAAGACAGTAGAAAGTCCTCACTGATGGTTCTGATCCAAAGCTTAATAGAGTTAACAGAAAAAAATACTGAGAACTTAATACTTGACAGCAATTTAAAAAAATCAGTCAGCAAACAACCAAAAAGCCATCCCAGAAACACCAGCAACAATATCCCTGAAAATATTTGAGCATGCACCTGGCCAGGTAAAAGCCTCAGTATAATTTTACAGTTTGGATTTTATTGACTTACCATTCATCACAGTATTTATATTGGCGGACACTAGAGAGCTAGGATAGGCAAATGTTCTACCTATCTAATAAATGAGATTGTTTCCCTAGTTGATTTTAAGTGCAAACTATTCATGTATGCATACAAGGTTATATAGGAATGAAACAATGTAAAATCTACAAAATTTTAAATTTGTTCTAATTTATCCTCAGAAGGAAACAGCATCAGATGCTTGGAAGAATATACAGAAACAGTGAAAAAAGCAGCTATGAAGTCAGTCAGGAAAATTTCTTCCTATTAGATTGCTTTTATCTAAAACAAAAGGATGAATAGTTACAGAGCAGCAGACAGACATTATGAGATAGGAAAACAAAGACTTCATGGGTCTTTGTTAAGACCTCTCTTTGTCAAGAGTGAGTCTTTTAATCTCCTCACCTATAAAAGTCTATAAGTAAATTCTTCCATTGTCATTCCTCGATGTGGTTTGCTAGACCTGGTAACTGTGTTAAAACTTTACAGGATCAGGCCCTGCTATGAACACATTCAGTGTCACCTAGGGTTCAGGAGAGTTGGCCAACAGAGAAGCTGAGTGGAGACACTGCTGTATCTGCTAGGCATGGCCAATGTGACACTGAAAAAGGAACCTTTGAATGGACAAGTACAAGATAGAGATTACACTCTAATCTGTGCAGAAAAACTGAATGATCCTAGTAGGCTGCATAAAATAGCTAACAGTATACAGATATGTCCTACTGTCCTATTTGTCATTTCAGTGTAAATGAAAATCACTTAATGCTTGCAGAATGTTCACAAGATGAGAAGATAACTGTTAAGTATTACAGTTTACTGTGTGATATTACTATCATCATATTAATTAGAAAAAATAATTAGCTTGAAATATTAAGATACTGATGTGAGATAAACCTCTGAATCTACCGACGTTCAGCTATCACCAGCAAACATATGATTAAAACATTTAAAACAATGAGAATACTTCAGTATGATAGAAGCTGCTGGCTATTATAGCTTAACTGACCAAGAGTAATGTTTCCAAAGCCAACTAAGGGATTTCTGAAAATGTTACTTGGACTCTTGAGCAACTCCAGCATTTTAAAATATTTTCCTAAGTACTTGGTGTTTGCATACTACATCCTATACCTATTACATGGACATAAACACACACACTCTCATTTGCTCAACCTTAAAGGCATAAGATCCCTTCATGGAAAACGATCAAGTTGAAGTTATTGCTGACTGGGAATAACTGGTGACTATAAGATAGGATACACCTCCTTTTTAGCCAGGACGAGCACAGGATAGGTTCAGTAGGCAAGTCAGTGCTGTGCTGCTACTGTCTTGTAACAGTCTGATGTTAGGTAGCTAATGATGCAAAAGAAAACATTGTCATATGCAAAGCTGGTAGGCAAAAGACTCTTGTAACTGCATCATCAGCAGAGAGCTCCAGAACAACCTTCATAGCGGAAGGCTGCAGGCAGTAGCCCCTGCATCACACACCAGACATGTTTCGTCATGACAGTAAGGCACAGTATTATGTATCATACCATGTAGCAGAGAATAATCATGTGGTATGATGGAAATCACCAGCTTCTGGGCCATATGCTAATAGCAAGCCCAACCATATGAGGAAAAAGGAGGAAGCGTGCAGCCCTCTCACTCCTGCACAGAAGCAGTTCAGTCCCAAAGCTGGCCAAAAGGCTTTCTATTCATTGAAATAAAATTTGAAATTGCCTGAATTAATACATATTCCTTCACCACACCAGAAGGCAGTTCCTCTACTCTCACTGTTCAGCAATGAGTTCAGAGTTTTCCCTAGCTGACAAAAATTCTCATGCATAGGAAAAACAGAAAAAACTTTAACTTTAGCACCTGACAAATTTTCTAGAGAGTTTTAATAGGACAAAGGCTATATATCCGTCTGCTTTTTAAAGCATCTAACACAATTCAGACACTGTCACAAAATAAATAGTAATAAATAACCCAAACTTTCTTGTTGAATTCTAACAAACTCCCCAGTTCATTTATAACATTTAATAACACTGGATGTGTTGAATGTAATTGGCTAAAATCACTGTAGTATATTCCAAATATATTTCACACAAATTAAAGTTTCCAGACTAGTAGTTAGTACAGTGTACATATTTTTACGATGGTATTTGTTTTATAGACAGAGCATTATCTTCTAATAGCTACTGACACATATATATGGAGAGATAGAAAGGTTTAATTAGTCTCACCTTTTTATAGGCAATCCAGTCAAACACCCTGTCAATGTCTGTGGCTTGCTGCACCTCCTGGGATACTGGGTGTGAACTTGCCAAACCATCTAGCAACATCACCTCATGTAGGACATCTGTCAGAAATCTCTGCTTTTCCTGAAATACAGTATATGCAGTAGTATCACAGACAAATAAACATTTACAACAATACAAAAATGATACACAGTTATCAGAGGCAGTTGACTAAAATCAGACCTTCAGGTTTGAACGTAAGCCACCATGACTTCCTAGAATCTTGAACAGGTATATGGAGTAGACTCTGACTTGAGATCTTTTGCTGCAATGAAACCTGACTGAAATTAAATTAAAGCCCATTAAATGAATCAAAATGCATCTGCAAGTGCAGACTGCAATTCTGCGAGATGGTGTAGTCTTCAATCACAAAAACATATGGATGCTACAAGTCATCAAGCTCATTGCACACACAGGTACAAAAACTTTTGACAGAGATAGGTAAACAGAATTATTGCTGCTTTATTTAGTGAAGTTTAAGTCACTTGGCTCTCAGTGCCAAGTTCACACAGCAGATTGACGTGAAACAGGACAATGAAAAGAGCCCACAGCAGTGTCACAGTAGATGCCTGCACTGTCTTTCATAATTCTGGTATAGAAATCCTTTCTCCTCAAGAGCTTGCATGCTCAACAAACTTCGTAACTTCCACCTGAAGGAAACCATTATAATCTCTCTTTATAGGTGGGACAATAGCTGCATGTAGAAGTTAAATGACATGGTCAAAGTCACAGCTATATCAGAGGCAGGTACAAACCCAAACAACATCCAACATACTAATTTGTTTCTATACCTCCTATAAATATGGATTGCAGAGGTATGTCAAAACTGCTGTGTATTTAGTCTGTCAGCAACATTAATTAAATGTTCATGTATACTCTATGAACTGTGCTGCACTCACTTTTACAGTGCAACTAAATGGGACTTTTTCAGCTGAGAAATGGCATGCCTTAAAAACTCCTCATATTGCATTCATATAGATGTCTCTAATCCAAAAGACTGTGTCAGGAAAGAAGAGCTTAATTTACTTGTTTTTTCAAGTCACAAATAAATGCAAAAAGTGAATTAAAAATTATGGAAGGTTTAAATAAGCTTTTTCACCCTGAAATGACATATCTCAAACTTTATCTAAATTACAACAGTTCCTGAATTAATATCAACCTAGTGCCATTATATAAACTCTAGGGAATGCTGCATTTTTTTCAAAAGCCACCTTGATGTCCACAGATAAAATAACCACACAATTACATAATAAATTCTATGTTTAATTTCTTGGGTGGCAAGGTTTTGATATCAATGTGTTTATTTAAATTATATTTATAAGACAGCCAAAAAGCTCTTCAAGTGCTGATCCATCTGGAAACAAACCTTTATGTTAAAACTCATTAGAGCACAAGAAATGTACCTTGAGCTGATTGTATATTCAGGCAATTAAAAACATGGGAGGCAGGAGAACCAATTACCCAACACACTCTTAGTGTTCTCAGCTGGCTGCATGAGGTAAGGTTTGTGAAGAGAAAAGTTCGTATTATTGTTCATTTCCAAATTTTCTCAGGCATACGCAGTTAGTAACTGCTCTTTTTTATGGGGAAAAAAAAAAGATGTAGGGAAACAATTATTATGACAGTCCTACTCAAGGGAAAACTCCTGAGGTGTAAAGGATTGTAGATGCTTTGGTTACACCTCACTCACATTCTCTGTTAGTCAATAAGAGAGACCCAATTTCATCAGATGTATGGTATGTAATATATAAAGGTATGAACATACAGATGTATGGACTTGTCTCCCAGTTCAAGTTTGGATATCACAACTGACAAACAGTCGTGGGAGTGGATTGTTACTGCTTGGAATTAACTCATTAAAAGGACCTTTGTTAATCACAAATGAATACTTTAAATACAGAACCTGAAATCAAGAAAATCAGCACATAGGAAACATAAAGTGAAGCTATAGGAAGAATAATACAAAGATATAAAAGATATAAAAAGAACAGGCTAATTTTGGTTTTCTGTTTGTTTCTTTGGTTATCTCCTGAAGGGCTGAAAAGGAACATTTTAGATTCATGATTGCTCATTCAAGCTACCATAGCTGAAAAGCCTTCCTTGAAATTTATGGCAGACCATCACACTGGGATAGCTAGTATGCCTCCAAACACGTAAACCTGCATTTTTGTGAGAATTAGGAAGGCTTTTGACCTACAAAGCTAGATTTATTGAACTAAAAGTATTTCCAAAACATTCCCACCTTTTCCTTTTAGTACAAAGCCTCTGAGAGCAGATTTCAAAAGCACTCAAATATAACTTCAGGGACACACAGACAGAGTGAGAGAGGAGTTTGCTGGTTGACAGTGGGCCTGCAGCTTGAAGAGGCAACAGGAAACAGAAATGCAGAAACTGAAACTGTCTTAATTAAGTTGAAGTAACACTGTCTCAGGTATTAGAGTCCTGATTAAACGGAAAAGGCCAACACAGGTGACCAAACTGTTTATACTGATGGAAGAGAGGCTTTCTATTCCCTAGCTATTTTACCCTATGCAGTACGGCGGAATTGATCTGTTTTAACATGATACCTACAGGACTAAAGAAAAATCTAGCACAGAAATTGTAAAGAAAATCAATCCTGGAATGCGTTTAATGAGGCCAGCGAGCTGTCAACACGGCAGGAGACAGGATTGCAGCTACACATGAAACAATGACAAAATGTTGTTCAACATGACCCTCCTCTGAGGGAGTTCAAGTGCAAGTGAAAAGCCAAAGACTGCGATCCTCCTGTAAGCACAAGAGGGCTTCAGGTGAGTCTTGAGGCTTTGCTTGGAGAGTGTCGGTAGCTGCATAAGTGCAATGCTAACACAGAGCCAGGGCTCTGAGCAAGAGTTGGTGTGACAGCAGCAGAAGCCTAGTCTGAAATAAGGACAGAGGTGCTTCCACTTAAATTTGTGCCTTTCTTTAAAGGCAAGCAGGAAGCCTCTCTGATCCTTATCTTCCTACTGCCCACTTGGAGTTCCATCCTCTTCATCTCCTCTCCTCAGAGCCTTCCCTGAACTATGGATAGTCGAAGTCTGGGAAACCAGATCTGTGTTGAGAAGAAAAGACACGCCTATTATTTCTGGGTTCTTTCCCTCTTACACTTGAGAATGCTTCCAGGTGCAGGGACTGGAGTGCTGTTATCAAATGAACATGCCTTTCAAAGATTTACATTTTCAGATTATTTCCCAAATATCTGTGGTCACTAGATTCAAGTATTTGCCTCTTCATAGGAATAACTTCTTTTGATCCTTGCCAATAAGACCTTCTCTGTTTGGTACAAGGTTGTTCTGAAAGACTTACGTCTTCTCTGTGCTCTCTCCTCCTTAACCAACATTTAACCATTTTCAAAATTCAAATTTCACTGCTTTGGGTAAAATCAGCACAAATGCTACAGGTAACAGGGTCAGAAACTTTCCACCTATAGAAATTCTTCCACTTTATGGAAATAATATGGAAATTTTTAAATGTGAATCTGCAGTATAAATCATTCCATAGCAAAAAGAATCGGGAATAAGAAACTGGCTAACCACAAGAAAGCTTTCTGGTTCTGGTTTATCTTCACCTCATTCTAGGGAGGAAGATCTATAGAAAGGTAGTGGTCACTCTTTGTGTATTAATCTCCAACAGGAAGCCCACCATTCAACTAGTCTACTTCTAAACGGAAAGAAAGCAATTGTGAAATAACATTTTTTGGCAGAAAAGACTGTACCTTCAAGAGTCATTAAAAATTTATTGTGCATAACAGAATAACAATGATGTAATGGAAAGGAGTTCTGCTGGTGATTTTACAGTATCATATTGAGGCATAATGTAAGAGTACAAGTTAACACGACAATAGTGTAATACTTAAAGTTAGTCACATAAAAATAATTTCTGAAAATTAATATGAAATACCAGAGAAAAGAATTAAAATTTAAAAAATGGAAAATATCCAACAGTGGAACAAAAGGAATAGCACAATGAAAGCCAAAACTGATAGTTAGTACGCAGAAGAGATCATAGGCCTCAATATTAAGGGCATCGCCTTTGTTCTGGGACAGCCATTCAAACAGTTTATGGACTGAGAAATCTGCATGAATAAAGCTTAATATCAGTGTGCAAATCTGCAAATTATTTTCCTGATAAATTTGCTGGAAGTATCTTCTCCAAACTATAGAGCTTTACTAGCCATCAGAAATACAAAGGAGGTAAGTGATCTCTCGTGCCTGACAGAACAAGCATTTGTAAGATGCGATACTTGGGTTTATATGGAAAGTGCATGCTAGGGAAAAAGAGAGAGGGACAAATTTTGAAAGCAGTCAAAGAGCACCAGCATATACACTAGCAGCAGTACAGTTCTAATGCAATATGTTTAAGGGTGGAGCATAACAAACTACAGAGGAATATCACCTATGAGGATACCTAAGGTTCAAAAAAATACCTTAAGGCCAGAAAAGATCCACTGGGGGCCAAAAGCAAGTTCTTTCTGTCTATATGCTTAAAAATCCTAAATTGTCATAGCACAGGAAGTCTCCTGAGTACTTGCAAAGGAAAGCAACATTTATTTCTCCTTCTCTTTTCCAACAGTAATTTTTTTGTAAATAGCTTGAGCAGCTTATAGATTGCTTTTTTAAAAATTTACATCTCTGCATAAGTGCCTTAATTATTTTTTCGTTGAAAGAGGCCTGCAACACATTCTGCATTTATCAGCTATGAATATGTCATGGTTTTGTGTCTACCGTCTACCTTCATAAACCTCTTTTCTGCATTTTCAGTCAAAATTCTTGCAAAATTTCTGTCCCAGTGCTTGAGAAATGTTGACACTGACTGACAATTTTTGTTGTTACAAAGCAACGTAGATGCTCTAGGAGTTCGTAGTTAAGGAAGATCAATCGCTCTGAGCATCAGGAAGGAGAACTGTATATGTATTTTCTTTTCAGTGAAATGCCAAACCAGAAATTAATGACCACCTGCTTAAGTTGCCGAGCAGACAGGCAGTTTATTTGGAGTTTTTAAGCAATTTCACCAGCTACTTCAACTGCCGTTTCCTCTCCCCACTCTGTTTTTCAGGTATAGCTTTG